CCCGCATAACGAAAAAAAAAAAAAAAAAAAAAAAACTGAAGCATTGCTCATCTTTAAAAACAGTATACAGAAATGTTATTTGTTAAAAGTGCTATGAATCCAGGTATTTACTTCTGTTTCTTTTAACATCCTTCCAAGATGGTGAGAAAGCAGATATTTCTGTGAACATGTATGAAGATATCAACATTATCACTGGTGCACTGAAACTGTATTTCAGAGATTTACCAATTCCACTCATCACGTACGACGCCTACCCTAAGTTTATAGAGTCTGCCAGTAAGTATGAAGGCGTGCATTTGTAACCTGACAGATCGCCTCTTCTTGGTAATCACACCTCCTGTTTTTTCTGCTGAGTATCTTGAGTGCATTTTATGAAATATTTCTCCCTGGCCTCTCTCCATGGCTAATACACTCACAAGAATTTTGAACTCTTCTCTAACATAGGCTGTTTATGACTTCTGCCATCAGAAGCATCTTTGCAATGTATTTTCCAAAGTAAGGCTTATACCAGTTCTCCTAGATATGGACCAGTACTTTTGTAAAATAAGATAAAAATAACTAGAAAAATAAAATGGAAAAAACAAGACCAACTATTTGTTATTCGATTCAGCAAGCGTGAAGATTACTCTGTCAGGATGCTATAAAGTATATAAATTCTTACTCTCAATTTCTGTCCTTAGCCTGTGACAGGCCATTGATAAGCAGTTTGCAAACTGGCACGGGTTCATAGATTATACGTTAAGGGGCACTATTTTAGATGAAAAAGTTATTTTCTAAGTTTTAGTTAAGATGAAAATGAGAAAAAGCAAAGGCTCATTTGCCAAATTTTATTTATGGTGTAAAAATCATACCTGTAATTTACACTTGTTTTTTTAAGGAAGGGAATTCTTAACAGATTTTAAGTATTGGCATTACCATTTTTTAGAAAAGATAGGCTATTTCTGTCATTTACTTTTCTCTCTTAAAAACCATATGCTGCGTTAATCTTTAAATAATAACATCACTTCCTGAGTAACACTGATTTGCTTTCTGATTTTGAAATTTCACAAGTACAAACTTGCTTCGTTCTAACTTTCGGTTTCCCCTTCAGAGCTTGTGTCGAGAATTTTTGTGGTTAGTTCCGTGGAGCCCTGATTTCTCGCCGGTCAGCTCAAGCTCTCATGTAGAGAACAGCTGTGAGAATTACACTGGTTTTTACAAACTTTCATGTTAGAAGCCCGAAAAGACTCTAGATCTCTTCCATGGGAATTGGGGATTCAGGGAAGATCATGAAAATTGTCTGAGGGAGCTTAGGGGTTCTTCTTTGGTGGGGCAGAGGTTTCCTCCCCAGAGAGATAAGTCAGATCGCCACTAACCTGGAAGGCACTTGACGTACACCTGTATCGCGAAGGGCTGCTCAGACCTCGGTTTGCTCTGACCCGCAGCCCAACTCTGGGGGCTCCGCTGGACGGTGTTCCTGCCCCCTGTTGCTTGCTAGTAAACTTGAAACTCAGCTCTGTGGCTACCCCAGGGGCATCCGATTAGCACAGGACAGAGCCAGGATTCAAACCCCGGGTATGAACGCTACACAGCGCCTTTATCTACTTAGAAGAAAAATCTAAGCACTCCTTATGGATTTTAAGGCCTTTTGCCCCACACCCCCAAACTACCTCACCTTCTTTCCCCACACCCACCTGAGTTGCTGAGGACAATCTCCCCTCTTTATTATTCTTCCAAAGCATTTGTCACTGTTCTTGGGTTTGTGTCTGAAACAGCCCTCGGGTGTGAAATCAGCAAGCCCCCTTATGTCACCCCCTCAGAGAGCTCTTGAGAGCACATCGTAAGAAAGAAACTTTCCTAAATCAAGGTAGAAATTCCATTTCCTTCTAATATAAAACCGTTTTGATGTGTGACATCAAAAACCCTGGCATAATACTTACACACAATATAAACGTTTACTGTACGTGTTTGATACTAATATCAAAAAGTTTGTGGAACATTGTGTCCTTGTAACATGTCTTTCCTAGTAGTAGAGTCTGTTTTATTCTTTAGATGCATAGATATAGCCATTCTCTTATCTGTATAAGCAGATAAGGAAGATGAGTGAAGCTAAGATTTATAGAGCATATATACTAGGTGTCAGGAATGGTGCTAGGCACTTTACACCCATGATGTTGTTTTAGAAGAAATGAGATGTTACAGGTATAAGTAAATTGTCCAGGGTCACATGGTGAGAGGAGGTGGCCCTGGCATTCAAACCCACACCTGTCAAAGCTGTGCTGTCTCCACTCTACACACAGCCTGGCTCGCCTGATGGAACAGGGTACAGAAGGCTTAAACGGAGGAGGAAGATAGGAGGGGAGGGGCGGAACCCTTTCCAAACAGAGGACAGGGCTAGCTCACCCCTCCCGATGAGCTTTTTGTATCTCAGAACTTTTTTGTATCTTGGCCACTAAAACAACTGGGGCCGTGTTTTTCAGGTCTCAGGTGTCTGGCATTTATTAGCAGCCCTTGCCAACAAAAAAAATCAGAGTTTGTGTTAAAGCTTTCTCCTGCTAAAGCTGTTTGAGCTCTGCTCTTGCAGCCTCCCTCGGAGAAGTCTGCTGGGTGAAAGCTGGAAGGGAGTGGTGGCAGGAAATGAAAAAAAGGATTCAAGGGTGGAGGAGGCTAGGGCATCCCAACCAAAATCTTGAAGAGCTTCATGATCCCCTGGAAACTCACTTAAGAACCACCTAGAAGCCTTGGTCTACCCAGCACTTCTTCCTCATTCCCTCTCCCCAGTGAAGAAGTTGGTGCCCTACAATACAAAGGCCCCGAAGACAGATGCTTCTCACAGGCCGTGCTCAGTAACCCAGCACGCACGGAGGCCTCCCAGCCACTGTGGAACCAGCACTGCCACAGTTGAGCTCCGGGTCAGGCTGAATGGAGAAACCTTCCTCTGGCCAAGGAGTCTAAGAGCTCTTCCCAGAAGATCTTAGAAAAGCTACATGACTCAGTCAGTGTGTAACCCTGAGCGAGTCAGATCAACTCAGAGAGAAAACCCAGAGTTCTTTGTCCTCGGCAACTTAAAATGTCCTGAAGAGAAGCCTGGTAAGCTTGCCGAGTTCCCCCTCAGCTCTGCCACGGATTCACCCCTTTTGCTTGCCTAAGTTTTATTCTTCTTGTATCTGAGTTTCTCTGTAAAGAATTAGACAATACATTCTTTCAAAGGGCTTGTAACTAGATCTGATGCGGGTTCAGAGTGCTCATTTCCTGCCCTCACAGTGTCCACATCCCCAAATCCTCCAGACCTTCCCTGGACCAGCAGGCCAGCCTTAGGCCGCCCTTCTCCCCTGGATTCCCATCGCGCTTGGCTGGGCTTCTTTCACAGCCTTGTTCCTTCCTGCCAAAGTTATAGTCATGTCTGGTCTTCCCTAGTAGACTGTAACTTCCTCAGAGGCAGGGGTCCTCTCCTGTTTGTTTTCCCTCAGTGCCCAGTCACGTAATAGGTGCTCAGAAATATTTGTTGAGTAAACGTAATTTTATATTAAGGACCGTAGAATCCTAGAGTTTTTAGATGCTCTAAGGGGTCACATAACTGGACTTGCTTCTACAACACATCCTTTCTTAAATACCCTGTAACTGCAAGATTACTGCTTCTCTAGGCGGCCCGTCCGCTGGTGGACAGATGTCCACTGACAGATGCTCAGGGAAATCTGCCTGCTTTCAACTCCCTCCCATTGGCAGTGGTGCCAGTGTCACCCTCTCCCACATGCAAGCCTTTCGTGTACTTGAACAACTGATGGTGGCCATTCAGCTCAGAGTACATTCCACTGTGTCTGTCTCGCTCTTAAATTATGCTGTGGTTTTCTTAAGGCTAAAGATTTGTGTTCTCTGAAGAACTGATCATGGGCAAGACTCTTCTAAGTGGGGAAAAAAGAGAAATGAATTCCAGGGAAGAATTTTTGTCAATTTAACATCCATATATTCAAATGCATTTTGTCATATGTTCCCAAATCTATATCTCCAGTCTGGACCTCTCCCTAAACCCCAGATCAGTCCACAGTCAGTATGTACACTTGGGCGCCTGAAGGACATCTCAGACAGAACTCTTGACCTCCCCCCCAGACCTCCTCCGTCTGTGATCTTCCCCATCTCAGTAGATTGAGGCTCCATCCTTCCAATTGCCTAAGCCCAAACCTTGGCTCATTCTTGATTATTCTCTTTTTCATACATCCCTCATCAAGAAACCCTCTGGACTCTACCCTCAAAATATACCCAGAATCCAGCAACTTCTTACCACCTTCACTGCCACCACCTGGTCTAAACGAGTGTCATTCCTCACCTGGATTTTTGTAATCTTGACCAGAGTGGTCTTTCTGTTTTCACTCTTGCCCTTCCATAGCCTGTTTCCCGCGTGGCAGCCAGAGGAGCGATACTGTGAAAAGTGCACGTCAGATCCTGACCCTCCCTCATGCAGAACCTTCCCATTTCTCTCCGTCAATGCCGTGTTCTTAGACTAGCCCACAGCACCTGCCGTGATAAAGTGCCCTATTACCTCTCTGACCTCACCCCCGTCTGCTCCTCTCTGCTCAGCCTCCTGCAGCCACACTTGTCTCCTCGCTTCTCCTCAGACATTACAGGCACACTCTCCCCTGGGAACCATGGCACAGATGTCCCTCTGCCTGGAACCATCTTCACCCAGATCTCCATGGGTTTCATTCCCTCCCTCCCTCAAAGTCTGTACACGAGACTCTCTTTCTCATTAAGGCCTATCCTGACCATCCCATGTAATACTGCACCCTCGCGGCCCTCCCAGTGTTTCTTACCCTGCTGTTTTCTGCATAGCGCTCATTCTAATCCAGTATAAACTGTAAGATAGAATATTTATTGCCTATTGCCTCCAGTAGAAAGCTCTCTGTGAACAGGGAATTTTGTTTCTTTGCTAGGCCACCTACACTGTCCTTAATTTCACACTATCTCAAGAGTCTCCTTATAAAGATTAACTATAGAAGTGAAAAGGAAACTAAGTTACTCTTTTTTCAATTTCCAGAATACTGTAGTTTCAAATTAATTAGTCCAATCATAAAAACTATAGCTAAGTAAAAACTAAATAGTAGCTTTCTATAGTAAGTGGAATTCTCTTCTGTTCGTTCTAGAAAGTAAATGATTGGATTTCAGTATCTGAGATGTTATTGCTGTTATGAATTGGCACTTTGAACCTTAATGCCCCATGGTCCAAAGACTGTGCATTATTTATCATAGCAAAAGGCAAATAATACATTCTTTATTGCTAAGAAATGAACCAAGAACTCTTGGGGAAGCTTTGGGCAGAAACTGTAAAATGGCCAAAGTTTCTTTGAATTAAAAAGCTTCAGTCACTGGTCACCTTCTGAAATTTACCACATCTGCTCTGCCAGTGCTAGGAACTTTTCACTTTCATCTTATATCAGTTTTTACCTGACTCCAGTACATTGCCGTTGAGTTGGTTTGTTTTATAAATTAGAAAGAGTAGGATTCTTGGCCTTGTGTCTAAAATGTTGTATTCTGGTTAGATATGGCCTTCCAGCATCTCAAGGCTGCTAACCAACACTTAAAGGCAATTGCCCTGAAGCCCAGCGTTTAAAGGCACCCCATCTTCTTGACATTTGGGTAGAA